TCGGCCCTTAAGAAGGGCAATCCATCTCTTACCAATGGATTCATTTGTCCACTCACTTATTCCACAATTATGTGTGGAGCACCTACAATGGGCAAAGGGTGATCTAGGTGTTGGAGACACTGCAAAAAAGAAAAAAAAGGCCAGATGCCTGTTGTCAAAGAACTTATATTCTTGTGGGGGATACAGAAAATAAACAAGCAAACAAGATAATTTGAGACGGTCATAAACTCTATGAGAAAAATAAAACAGGGCAGTGCAATTGGGAGTGGCTGGAGGTAACTACTTTGGGGGTCAGAGGGGTCAGAGAAGGTGTCCCTCAGGATATGGTTTTTGTTCTAAGACCTGACTGAGGAGAGGCAGGTAGTCCAGTGAAGAGCATTCCAGAGACCGAGCAGGGCAAGTCAAAGGCTGTCAAGTTTGGCTTGTTCCAAGAACAACTAGGAGGCCAGTGTGGCTGGAACAGAGTAAAGAGTGGGGAGACTGGTGGAAGAGGAGGGGAAGGACAGCCAATGTCACAGTCCACAGAGTGAAGTGACAACCGACGGGGTGGGAGGAAACATTCACAAACCATATATCTGATGAAGGGTGAATATTCAAAATATATAGACAACTCAGACAACTCAATAGCAAGAAAACAAAAGACCTGATTAATAAATAGGCAAAGGATTTGAATAGACAGTTCTCAAAAGAAGACATACAAATGGCCCACAAGTATATGAAAAAAAAATGCTCAATACCACTAATCATCAGGAAAATACAAAGCAAACCCACGGTGAGCTATCACCTCATCCCAGTTGCCAAGGCTGTTATCAAAAAGACCAAAGATAACAAGCGTTGGCGAGGATGTAGAGAAAAGGGAACCGTTGTGTGCTGTTGGGGGGAATGTACATTAGTACAGCTGTTATGGAAAACAGTATGGAGTTTCCTCAAAATATTAAAAACAGAATTATTATGTGATCCAGCAATCCCACTATGGGTATATATCCAAAGGAAATGAAATCAGTATGCCAAAGAGAAATCTGTATCCCTGTGTTTATTGCGGCATTATTCATAATAGCTAAGGTATCCACTAGTGGATGAGCAGATAAAAAAATTGTGGTATATATAACCAATGGAATGCTATTCCGCCATAAAAAGAAGGAAATTCTGTCATTTGTGACGACATGGATAAAATTGAAGGACACTATGTTACGTGAGATAAGCTAGGCATAGAAAGACAAATACTACATGGTCTTACTTATATGTGAAACAAAAAAAAAAATGTTGAACTCACAGAAACCGAGAGTAGATGGTGGTTACCAATGGCTGCGGTGGGGAGATGTTGGTCAAAGGATGCACAATTTCAGTTAGACAGGAGGAATAAATTTAAGAGTTCTATCGTACCACATGGTGACTATATTTAATAATAAGGTATTCTTGAAAATTGCTAAGAGAGTAGATTTTAAGTGTCCCCACCACAAAAATGGTAAGTATGTGAGGTAATACATATGTTAAGTAGCTCAATTTAGCCATTGCACAGTGTATGCATATTTTAAAACAACATGCTGTACATGATAAATAATACAATTTTTGTCAATTAAAAAATTAAATGGTTAACTAATTATAAAAAGAGGAGGGCAGAGATTGTTTGTCTATTTTAACTGTTGCATTCCCAGTACCCAGAATAGTGCTCAGCGCAAAACAGATATTTGTTTAAGGAGTAAATGAAGGTAGATCTGAATTGATGTCATGATGAAACCTATTAAAGGCTCTTTCCTATCTGACCCCAAACTACTTTTTCAGTCCACTATTTCCTTGCAAAAAAACCCACAACTATCTTTTTTCCCTACAAATACACTGTGAACATTTTTAAATTTTTTTCTTTGATGCTTTGCTTCCCTGGATTCCCTGCCTCCAAGTATCTTTTCTAGTTTTCCTCTCTAAACCCCAAATATTGTCATATTTTTCTTTGTGAAACTTTTCCAATAAACTCAAAATAGGGTAATTTCTCCTTCCTCTGAATTTCTGTAACGATTATTCCACGTATCATTTAGTGACACTTAACATAATGAACCAAATGACTTATTTATTGTCATCTTTCTTTATCCTGTCTCCCCAGTTCAGCATTGTCTTTGAGGGCAGGGGTTGTCATCTGCATTTTGAAGTCTCCAAGCACCTCACTGTTGTCTTGCCCAGAGTTGTGGTTCAGTGAAATTGTCATTGATGGTGTAAATTCCTTCTCGTTGAGGTTGAATATCTCACTGGTGAGCTGAGAGCTCCTCAGGTTGGTTTTGTGTTTGGGCCCACGTGTGTCAGCCAGCCTCCTTCTGCTCCCTTGGAGGAGGGTTCCCATGGCCCTGGGAGCACGGTTGGAGGAGTTGAGGTGAGAAAGGCCTGGGTGAAGGCACATGGACCATGGAGGAAAAGATGATCAGATTGATGACCACCTTTGCTGAAAATCATCACCACGACCAAATTTACCAAAGTAAATTTAAAAATTGTCCTTTCTTTTGATGCATCCATAACTTGACCGTCATATTCAAAGCACAGCAAGTGATTAATCTCTTATCTTCCAGAGAACAAAGCATTTGAAGCCAACAATGTAGATGTTTGAAGGTGGTTGTAAAAAACAAAAAAACCAAAATAAAACCAAATAAATGAGAAGCAGCAGTAGCAGTTATTCACACTTGAGAAATCCAGAACTTAATAACCATGAACAGAACCGTAATAAACAGAAAGTTCTGGAAATAAAGTTTAATTATCATGGAATCTTTATTGTTGGGTTAAATGAATTATCATCTGGGAACAGCTCTGAGAAAAGCTTTGATGTCCACCTTAGGAGATGCATATGCCTTTATGTGCCCCTCAGAGACAGATGGATTTCAAATGTGAAGCATTTAGTTAACTTGGTCCAGCTTTTTAATCACTGCTCTAAAATTAAAAATTAAAAAAAATCTTTTTTTCTTGTTGGTTAAATAAAAATAGGAATAGATACAATCTGCCCCGAGCAAACAGACCATATATCAGTAAATGAATACTTAGCCTAAGCTATTTTCCACGAGACCCATGAAGCATTTCTAATTGAAACTTAACAAGCTACAACCCAGCAATCACTCTCATCTTCAGCTCTAGGAGGAAGATGTGATGTTGGATGCGGCTGTAGCTTTTTACATTGTAGCTGGGAGACAGTGTGACTGTGAAGTTGTGTGGTGTAATTTTTTTAATTGCTGAAGTGTCATTGTTTGTTATTTCACATTTATTGAAAAATGTAAATGCCACATTTAACAGAATAGCAATAAGTTTTTGTTCCAGTCTGATGACTTAATTTTACTAATCATGATAATAAATGCTAGCTTGAGTTGGGAATATTTAATAAAATACTGGAATAAATTTATTTTGTGCTTACATTTCAAGGGAATTAATAAAAGTACCTTCATCTGCAACATTTAAAACTTTATTGGCTTAAATTTTCATGACATAGTGCAGGGAAGATCACTGCAGGGGAGAATGGCTGTACCTCTGTGAGGACCTTAGTCATTCAACACACAGGCAGGTGTGTGGAAACTGAGGCACAACTTGCTGGACAGGGAGGTAGATATTTGCCCATCTTTCATTTTTCTGGGTTTTCCATCTTTGCGTCACCTTTGTGCACAGTGTTTCATTTGAGCTTCACAAGCTTCGGAGGCTGCGGGGACAGGCAACCCCATTTTATAGATGAGGAAACTTGGGCTTAGAGAGACAGTCCCACCCCAAATCACAGGGACGAAGCCCAGGCCTTCTACTCCCCACCAAATGTGTATCGGTTATTCACAAATCCTATTTGCATACATAGCAAATGGATCCTGTGGCTCGCAACTTATGTCAACAGGGCTCTTTGGCAACTGGAAAAAAGTCAGGGCTCTATTGTGGTGCAGGGGATGGGAATGTTGCTTGGCCCAAACGCCCTCTCCTCTTTCCCTCCACAGCTCAGGTGGCAAATGTGGGACCCAGGACCTCTGGCTCCAGCAGAGTTGTGGCACAACTTCACACACATAAGCTACTTGCTAAGTCAGAGCTGAAAGCCAAAACGTGTGATTATTCAGAAAAAAGATGCAAAAGGGTAATAAAGATGACAAAGATATTACCCAAAGGAGAAATCTTGTTTGTGTCTTTTTCTTTTTTTTTCTTTTTCGGGAGAACAATCAAGAACTATGACTTGAAGTTCACCAAGTTCACCAGGGAAGTGAGAGATCCCATTAAAGAACAAGTACTGGTTTGCAATGGTTAAAAGGTAACAGTAAAAGGGAGAGTAAAGCAAAGTCCCAACGCAACCCATAAATCTATTTATATTCCTTGAAGTTCTCCTAGACTGGGAGGCCGAGCAAGGGCCACCCCTCCTGTGTGCTGGAGGGTTGCGCCCCACGCCAGCATCTTACCTAAGGAGGAACCCCTTCCCTCCGCACTCCGCCAAGGTCCGACTTGGCTCTCCCCACTGGCCCTCCCTCTAGGACTCCAGCCAGGTCCCGCTGGGCTCTAGCCATGTCGGTCTGGAGTTTCTCCGGCCTCGGAGGGGGAGAAAGGAGAGAACAGGTGCTCCCCCGCCGACGCTCCGCGAGGGCCGGGCGAAGACCCCGCGCCCAGGTCGGGGAAGGTCGCTCGGCCGCTTCCCTCCTCGACGCACCCCGGCTCCCCGGCTTCTCCCCGGAGCGCGCGGATGGCGAAGGGAAGGCGGCGCAGAGACCTTGAGCGTCGCGGACGCCCCAGCGCGGCTCGCCGGAGCTGGCAGGAACAGGTGCGGTTTCTCCGACGTCCGCGAGCGGCGCCTGCCGCACCTTGCCCGCGCCGCGCCCCCTCCCGGGCGCCCCTCGCCCTCTGCGCCCCCGCCCCCCAGTGCCAGGGCGGGGGCCGGCGCCCGCCCGCAGGTAATCATTGCCCGCGGAGCCCGCGGGGGCGCGGGGTGGGCGCGCGGGGGGGCGGGCGGCGCGGCGGGGCGCGGGCATAAAGGGGCGCGGCGCGGGCCCAGCGCCCGGCTCCCGCGCAGCATGCCACCAGCGCCCCCGCCGCGCCGCCCGCCGCCGCCGCGCTGTTCCGCGCTGCTGCTGCTGCTGGCCCTGGGCGGCCGCCGGCTGCGCGCCGAGCCCGGCGACGGCGCGCAGACCTGGGCCCGCTTCGCTCGCCCTCCCGCCCCGGAGGCCGCGGGCCTCTTCCACGACACTTTCCCCGACGGCTTCCTCTGGGCCGTGGGCAGCGCCGCCTACCAGACCGAGGGCGGCTGGCGGCAGCACGGCAAGGGGGCGTCCATCTGGGACACGTTCACCCACCAGCCCCCCGCGCCCCCGGGAGGCCCCCCGGTCGCCGGCCTGCCGTCGGGCGCCCAGACGCCGCTCCCACCGGCCACCGGGGACGTGGCCAGCGATGGCTACAACAATGTCTTCCGAGACACGGAGGCGCTGCGCGAGCTCGGGGTCACCCACTACCGCTTCTCCATCTCGTGGGCGCGGGTGCTCCCCAATGGCAGCGCGGGTGCCCCCAACCGCGAGGGGCTGCGCTACTACCGGCGCCTGCTGGAGCGGCTGCGGGAGCTGGGCGTGCAGCCCGTGGTCACCTTGTACCACTGGGACCTGCCCCAGCACCTGCAGGACGCGTACGGCGGCTGGGCCAACCGTGTCCTGGCCGACCACTTCAGGGATTACGCCGAGCTCTGCTTCCGCCACTTCGGCGGCCAGGTCAAGTACTGGATCACCATCGACAACCCCTACGTGGTGGCCTGGCACGGCTACGCCACCGGGCGCCTGGCCCCTGGCGTCCGGGGCAGCCCGCGGCTCGGGTACCTGGTGGCGCACAACCTCCTCCTGGTGAGTGCGAGGGGCCAGGCGAGGGCCGCGCAGGGGAGACGGCGCCCCTGGAGGTGCGGGGCGAAAGCGGGCCGAGTCCCCAGCCCGGACGAGGCCTCACCTGAACACACGGGTGAGGTCACCTCGGATTTGCACGGGGGAAACAGGGCAGCTCCTCCTTCCCACGGAAGGTGTGGAGCTAGGGATGCGAGGGAGATCCCGCAGCGGGCGCGCCAGTGAGTGCCACTGTGCAGCCTGTTTGTCAAAAGGCAATGGGAATGATTTCCTCCGATAAGGAAGGGGCACGCCTTTCTCTGGGTGTTGGGGAATTCCTAGAGCTAAGGGCGGAGAGGATTTACCTCTGGTAGCTGCAGGGAGAGAGAATGAGGAGTTTGGGATGTTCGGAAGCCGCACGGGTAGCATTACTCTCTGCCAGAGTTTGTGGAGATGTCACAAGTTCAGTGTTAATCCAGTAAGATCTGTCTTGCTCGTGGCACAGATTCACACTGTTGCAAAGGTGTCAAAATCTCATCTCCCCGAGAGACTCAGGTTGACTGTGTTTGGAGGTCCCGTCTGCGGGCAGGGTAGGGACCTGCATCCATCAACCCTACTTGATCACCGGAGGCCGAAGACCACTTTGTACAATCTTATCCCTTGGCATAAAATTGCAGAAACAACTGCAGGGTGATATAGATTGTGTTCTACAACATCTGTGTTTCCACCGTGCTCTCTCCAGTTGAAAGGGTACCTCGCTTAGGAGATTACTAACCCGGCAAAATTAATTTTAACACCCTTGTACAAAAGATTTCATACGTTTTGACATAAGGAAATATTGATATGCCATGATAAAGTTGTCTCTCAAATATTTCTTTCTTCTTTTGTCTCCTGAGTGCTCAAATTTAGGCATCCATTGGTTTGGGGGTTCATTTATAATGATATAAGTTGTTGGTATACTTTAAACAGGGTTTTGTATCATGATAGAATATTTTATGTACATGTATAAACATTTTAATAAAAATGCTTAAATGTGCAATTTTTGATACCCTATATTGGTGACTTGGAGGCCTACTGGAAGACCTTTTCTTAAATTTAGAATTAAGCCCCATATCCTGAACAAATTCGATATAAAGACCATATCTAAACACAATTAAAGCCATAGATAATATGGGCCAAACAGTACTGGGTTACTGAGGTGACTTAGTGCTCTGAGCTGCTGGCAGTGTTGTAATAATGGCTAAATTAGATTGTATGTCAGCTCCACAAAACTTATTTCTGACCACCGGTCATGAAAGAATATTGGATTTGTTTGACAAATTGTGAATTTAGTGATTTCATATTGATACATATCTTTTCATACTGGTACTTTAGACCAATGATTCTTAAACTTTTTCAGTTTGTCAATCCTTTTAAGGAATCAAAAGACCCTACATACCACCAGTTTATGCTCCGTGATAGAAAAACTATGGGAACAACTATCTCATCTTTTGAACTAAACAGAAGCAAATTATCAGAAACAAATAAGAGATTTATGCATTGCCTGGAGAATCTAATAGAGCTGTCCTGTAAAATCACTACGTTAGACTTAAATCAAACAAGTTCTGTTTTTCAGAGTGCACATAACAAACTCTATGTATACAAAATAGTCAATTGTTATTACAGTGACTTATAAGAGCTCATGAACTCTCTGGTAACTTGGTGTTTTAAATAATCAACATGCTTTAGATCTTTGTGCCCACTCTGGGCCCTCTGATTATCTTTTCAGGTATAGTTTTGAATCCTTACACAAAAAAAACTTGCCAAAGTTAGTTGGTTAGTTGCCAAAAACTAACCATCCTTCCCAGAAACACAGTGGACTTTGTATTTATACGAAATTAGTAACAGGTGGATGCTTGGTTTTGCTGATGCTGCAGACAAAACATTAGTTGCTGTAAAATATTAATTTTGCTTTCAGATTTCTTTGGGTTTGACATTGAGTACTTGTGTTTTATTTAGAAATAAGTTCCCATCATCAAAGAAAGTATCCTAAATTAATTTTCTTGGTTGAGATACTTTCATTCTATCTTCAGTGTTCTCTCTTGGTATGTAAATGGGGGAGAGGGGAGACAGAGAAGTTTTGACTGTATCTAAAAAAGGATAAAACATATCCTGTGGATTTTGCTAATAGGATATTTTGGCTGGACCTTAGATATTGCTGTTGCACAGACTTAGGGGCCACTGAGCCCTTAGCAGAGTCATTTGCTTTTAGAGTCTGATTTTCCTGAAGGATGAAGCAGGCCAGCACCCCACCCCACCCTACTAATTTAGGAATGGGCTAAGGAGACACCCTGGAGAGATGGAAACTTGAATTCCACTAGAGATCCCAGAATCATTGTCCGATGGCCTAGAGGATAGGGGGAAGGCCACGCAAGCTGCAGGCCAATTGATGGAGGTAGGGGGCCATGCTTAGAATGGAGGTCTTGGGTGTGCGTGTGTGTGTGTGTGTGTGTGTGAGAGAGAGAGAGAGAGAGAGAGAGAGAGAGAGAGAGAGAGGACTTAAAGAATGAGCTGCTTTGCTCATCTGAGTATAACTCAGAAGGTGGACATACCTTCTCTCTCTGGCTTGAAGATGAACCATTCAGATGTCACAGATATTGAAAGAAGCTTCTTTATGTCCCCTCCCCTCCCAAACCAGCACTAGGGCCTGTAGTTGGAGAGTCCAGCCCCAGCAGTGCCTCTGAGTTTTTGTTCTGTCCATGGGTTCCTAGGAGGACCAGAACCAAGTTGAAGATACATGTGTCCCCCTTCCTTCCCTTTGTCCCCCGCTCCCCGACTGAGATTCTTGCAAATACTTGTGCAAGGAACCTGAGAAAAAGACAACTTCTTTCAAGTAAGGAGGCAGGGCTAGGAGATGGGAATCTGGGCATTGCTGTCTGGTACAAACATGGCTGGTATTGAGCATTAGCATCAGTGCTCACATCTTAGGTGATCTGTCTGCAGCATTTGTTGAAGCCATCACTCTCTTTTTCTTGAAGTACTTCCTCAGCTTGGTTTCTAGATTCCCACTCTCTCTTGCTTCTCCTTTCAGCTCCCTGGTGATTCCTTCTGTCTCCTTTGCTTCTTCCTCCTCAGCTTGCTGTAAACAGCTGAGAGCCCAGGGCTCTGTCCCAGGGCCTCTTGTCTAGATTCACTTCCGGTGATCCCTGTGAATACCATCTGCATCCTGATGACTGCAAATTTTGAGTCTCCCACCAGGCCTTCCTTGAGCTCCAGACTTGGACAGACAATGGCCTTCTCCACTTGGATGTCTCATAGGCATGTCACATTGAACGCACCCAAAACCAAACTCCTGCCCACCCCCCTTATGGCAGCTTTGCTCCTCCAGTTGGTTGGGTCCCAAATCTTAACTCCTCCTTTCCTTTCTCATCTTGTTTCTAATACATCAACAAACCCTACAGCTCCATTACTTTCAGAATGTGTCCTGAATCAATCCACTCCTCTCCTTATCTACACCTATAGCTGAAGGCCAATCCACCATCCACTTGCTGCCTGGGTAACTGGGACGGCCTCACAGCTGGCATTCTTGCTTCTGCCCTTGCCCTCTGCCGTGTGCCACAATGGGTGTTCTCCGGGCATCATTACGTGTGCACAAGACACAGTCTCTGCTTATTAAAGTTCCACCTATTCTTCAAGAAGCAGCTCATGCCTGACTGCCGTCGCTTCCTTCTGTGGGAGCCCACACCGTGCTTTGCTTTGCTCTGTTCCTCCTACCACGCTCTTCCTTTCACTTAACGGGTTTTCTCCTTTTTGCCCCATCCACTAGCTGAGCCAGTTCCTTAAGTGAGGAAACCTCCTTCACTGCACTTGTATCTCCTAAAATGGCATCTCGCCCTTGGTAGGTGCTCATGCTTCTAGAGTTTTCTCTCCTTGTCAATCTTTCTAGACACTTTCTGATGGAATGGGAAATAGCAAATCCTAATCAGATACAAAAATCAGTAAATGTAATAGTGCAGAAGTTGACATCTTCAGTGAAAATTTAACATTCATCATCAAATTTATGACTGCATTGTAAAAATCTGCAAGTAAAACCTATCTATAGTCACAGGCAGTATTATGAAGAGGATTTCAGAATGGGACCAGGCAGTAGAATCACCTGGCTAGCTTTAGGAATATATATGGGAAGGGGCTTTGTTATCTGGTTAAATTTTCATGCCCGTGTAATAAGTGTATTAGGTACATGGCTAGAATAATGAGCTGGGTTGATAACTAATGTATTTTATAGAATATGACTGAATTCAATAGAATGTTTAATCAGAAATAGTTAAAATATCTCCCAAAGAGCTTGACTCACTCTTCTTTGAATACCTGATTGAACACAGTATTTTTTTTAATGTTACAGTTAAACTCAAGGAAAAATTTAAAATAGGAAAAGAACTAATAAAGTAATTTTCAAATCATAGCAATGTTTTAACAATGTCTATTATTTTGATTTGAAAAAAGGAAGAAAATCTAAGCTAGTAAGTATTCAAATAATGCCAATGTGCATTTCTTAGGTGCATAATGAATAAACACACAACTGTGTTACCTGAGTATTTTGTCAGTCTTGGCTTTTGCACACAGAAGCTTTCTGAGCTATCTTTTTTTTTTTTCAAAATATATTGCTCTAACATAGAATTTTATCATAATTTGTGTCAAAGGTGCCTTTCTTTCAATGAATGTTATCTTATTTAAGAATAAAAGAAATTTTAGATATAGAAGGAGAATAGAATACATGCCTATTGGGAGGACAAAAAATAAAAGAGTAAATGAGTGAAAACACACACTGCTACTGAACCACATCTTCTCAAGAAATGCCAAAGTTATACTTGTAATCTATATTTAAACAGATAAACATAATGTACCTTTTATATACTCTATTTTGTTATGGGCTGGGCAGGAATTAATCTAAGGAATTCCTATACACTTTCTCCCCTCTCTCTTGGGATACTCTCTTATTTACCCTTCAAAGACTTGACTCAAATACTCTCATTTTGCAATAACCACCG